ATTACTTATATAATAGATCACAATGCGTTGAACTAAATAAACTTAACAATGAAAATGTATCTACTTCATATAAGTCTTCATTTGTAGTTAACAGATTTGGTGTTCCTCAGGGCAGTGTGCTGGGTCCTCTTCTGTTTCTGCTATATATAAATGATATTCCCCAAGTCACAGAGCATAATTGCATCTTATTTGCAGACGATATATCATTAACAGTTACAGAAGATAAAACTGTAAATTATGAGTTATCTCTAAACCACGCAATATCGTCTATAATGACCTGGCTCACTCATAATAATCTAACTGCTAATGTCTCCAAAACCAAAATACTCCAATTCGTAAACTCAACCAATCATAGCAAATTAAATAACAAACTCAGTATCCAACATAAAAATATTCCAATAGAGGAAATACATGAGACCAAATTTCTGGGCATTATGCTAGACAGGAATTGTAAATGGAGGCCACACACGGACATGTTGTGCGATAAAATAAATAAGTTTGTGTATGCACTCAAAAAATTGAAAAAAGTCTCTTGCTCTAAAACAACACTGGCTGCGTATCATGGTTATATAGGATCTATCATAAGATACGGATTAATTATCTGGGGTAACTCTTCGTTCGCAAAAAGAGTGTTTATTGCTCAAAAAAAATGTGTTCGTGCTATTTGTGGCGTGGGACCTCTGGAATCATGTAGACCATTATTTAAAAAACTAGGATTATTAACATTAACCTCACTGTACATATTAGAAATAGCAATATTTGTAAAGAAACATCCCGAACTTTATAATAAGGTAATAGATTATAAGAAGAATTCGTCCAGAGATCCAACGCGACTTGCTGTAATAAGATGTAGAAGCACACTATGCCAAAAAAATTCATATATAACATCAATCAAAATATATAACAAAATACCTAAACATATAAGAGAATTACCTTTAAATAAATTTAAGATTACATTGAAAAAACTACTAATCAACAGTTGCTTTTACACCTTAGATGAGTTTCTTACAATGAAAGTTTAATGTGTGCAATAAATACTAAGTGTGCAATATTAAGTGTGTTGTTATTCAGTAAGTCACTGTGTCAAAATGATAAATATGTGAATAAAGAAAAGTAATAATAATATGTTAGGAGGAATAATTATGTTATCCTAGTTGTAAGCATTTTTTTTGTAATTGGTTTTATTGGATTAATAAGATTTTAACTTTATTATATTGTAAAACTTAACTTTGCATGCCGAAAACAGTAGGCGATGTATGTGGGACTATTTTTTATAATTATTACTACCTGTAATTACCATACTTCGTGCAAATAAACGTTCTTATTCTTATTCTTATTCGTACGCGTAATCCCATTTTTTCCCGTCCCCGTTCGTGATTTTCGGTAAAAAGTAAAAAGAAAGTATTGGTTAAAAAGGATCCTATGTCGGTCTCCTGGCTCTAAGCTACCTCCCTACCAATTTTCAGCCAAATCTATTCTGTCGTTCTTGAGTTATAAGTGGTGTAACTAACACGACTTTCTTTTATATATATAGATTATTGTTGTATTTATTATCAGACCTCTCTCAAGAATAGGTCTACTACAATACCCAAGCATACCCAATTTAAGCCAAGCAGCAGGTGCAGCAGGTGGCTGCTAAGCTTAGATCTGTAATAGTTTTGAAGATGCTTCATTACAAAAGATTAACAAAGGATTTAGCCCTGTTTTTTTCTCTTTTGCAGAAAAGTACAGCATAACTCATGGAACATTTTAATACTCTTACTATCACTTGCTTCATTACTTTTCATTGAACTCACGAGGTTGTCTAAACTCCAGAGGTTCACAGTACAGCTCGCGACAAATTTGCGCCAAGTGACTAAGTTCCATCTAATATCTTCCAAACTTTAATAGCTCCCACGGTTGTAACTTGCTTGCAATTTTCAAGTGCAATTAACGATGACTTTGAAGTGATTAGTTATGACTTTGAAGTTCAATTAGGTATTGATTTGTATAGGAATTAGCAGTTCCGTTGGGACTTGAGGAGTTATGTGGAGTTACAAGTTGACTTAGTGTTTGATAAGGATTTGTGTGAGAGTAAATTACTTTATATTATTATCAGTAGATTATAACAGCTAATTGCACTTAATAAAAGTTATGTGATGGCTGGGAGATATTATCTAGTTACTCATAATAAGGATCTGGCAATAAGTAGAAACTTAATTATAGTAAAGATAATAATGAAAACGACAGCGTTAAGTAGTGGATGCTTTATTAATGTGCAAGGCCAATTCTAGAAGAGGTAATTTTGGGAGAGAGACTACAACTTCGTCTAGTTAAGACGTCAGGTTTAGCCGTAGTGTTTGCCGTAACCGGCGCCCCAACCACCCCATCCGCCGTGACCGCCCCAGCCTCCGAGTCCGTAGCCGCCCCAGCCTCCGAGTCCGTAACCGCCCCAGCCTCCGAGTCCGTAGCCGCCCCAACCTCCCCAGCCTCCGTAACCGTAGCTGACGGGAGCTGCAACGCTGACGGTGCGGAGGACGGGAGCGGTGACGATGGGAGCGACGGCGGCGGTCCTGATGACGGGGATGGGAGCAGCCTTCACGACATTTGCGGTGGATATCGCTGCAGGAGCGATGATTGGAGCGCCATATCCATATCCAAGACCTGGAAGTGAAGATAATGAAATTATGAATTAACTCGTCGAATACCGTCAATATAGACACAATTATAGAACAATAGGTTGCGGTCACCGGTGACCGCTTGGTGTTTGACAGTTTAAATAGAAGTGTTCTGTATCCCTGATAACCGGACGATGATCAAGGTGATTCTTATTTTTATATACAGGTGAAATATTATTATCCAGTACTAGATTCTGAATCAATTTTGAAACTCTAGCTTTTAAATATATGGTTTTTTGGGTCTAATTTGTATGAAAATTGCGTTACTTACCATATCCGCCAATGGCGCTGCCATGGGCGACGGCCAGGAGACAAGCCAACTACAAACCATGAAAACAATATTAAGATCAAAATTTTTAGGTCAACATTGTTTAAACGAAATTAAAATGTCATTCGTTTAAAATAAAATAGTACTTTCTATTAGTACTAATAGGTCTATATAGGTTACACAAGTCTCCATTTAAATTATAATTCATTACAATTCAGTAGCAATAATAAGAAAACGTAATCAGTATTATTTCGTACCCGAGACTGGTAATAAATCAAAATTCTATAATTCGGTGTTTATGATTATTTCATTAAATAACTCGTCAAGAATCTATAACACATTCATTACCGATTAAAAATCTGAATGCACGCGCGTCTAATAAAATTGAACTTAATGCAACCAGAACCAATTATCCAATCCAATAAATAGTCAATGTTAACTAACAATCATTTTAAGGATACAATTTTACATAATCTTGACTTTAACCTTATTCACATCTATATCTTAAGCTGGCCCAAAAAAGTCAGATAAATAACACCAACCAATGGAAAAGAACAATAAATTATAGATAACACAGATTATATGACAAATATGAACAATAACTTACAGCTACGAGGGTGTTCATCGTGGGTGGTTACCTCAGACGAAGTGTTGCCTTTGGTACAGTGTCCAACCATTTTATACCAGTGTTCGAGTATCCGCTGAAACACGGCCGGATACAGCCTGTCCATGCACGCACTCGTTGCGTTTCGTCAGATATTAGCATTGGGCATCCTTGTCCGATTGGGAACGGTGAATTCATTATCCTTTATCCTTTACCGAAAATTCGTTTGGCCTACGGATGCGCCTTCCTATAGATTGCTCATGAATTTGGTTACAAAGTAAGAATAAATTATTCGAGGTTGATTGAGGTGCTCGGTTCTATTGAGTCGTCAGCTAAGAAGAGCAATACTGAGATTATCTTTTGACTTTTATTGATTAGGGTAGCTGTGGCCTTTGGTGTCAATGGATTGTCTAGTGTCAATCTTTGAAATAAATGTTGTAAACATTTAAATTAGAGCCGATTAAATGTTCTCCATTATTTAGTATATTTCATGTATATTTTTGCCTTTACGTCTAGATACAGAATTTTCGTGGTCTGTTAGCTCTTTTGCGCAGATTTTAAAATATAATCTGTAACTCAAGTGACGTAACCAATTACAGGCTAACTAAGCAATAATAGTATCTTATTTGCATTGCAGAAATGTGGCTTTTAAACCATTTCTATTTCTATCAAACAGACTATGCAAACAGTGGGCAACTCACACCACGGTACCAGGGCGGCATGTATCGAAGGCATTACACAAGCCTGCACTAAACCAACACGGGGCCTCTCAACAAATACCTGTAGGCACTGCTAATATTTGTTCTCGAGTGGGAATCGAAGTACTTCGCACGAAGACGATCGCTCCATCACTTTGACATTTAGATAGTTAGCCCGAGGGGCTTTTGCAGCAAACAGTTATATATACCCTTTGTGGATTTTCTTTAGTTGTACTTGATTTGTTAAGGAGTGAGAAAAGATTAGTTTTGTGTTGTAAATCGATTGGATGGCTATTTTGTACAGCAGTTTCTTGTATTTGATGATTTCTAAGCTGCATTATTGTTACTAGGGTATTTATTTGACGAGGAATTCGACTAGTCTCACGCTACGCCGGAGGCTCATATTCGTTGCTGCGTGACGTGTCTCGCGCAAAACTGCTCATATGAATGAATTTGTCACACCCTATGAATTTTACTGGGTTTAAACTGTCAAACACCAAGCGGTCACCGGTGACCGCAACCTATTGTTCTTTAATTGTGTCTACAAAACCGGTACTCGACGAGTTAAATTGAAAAATGCCGTAGGGTTCGTACCCAGAGCCGTAACTTTTGAACTCAAGTAACTTGATGACAGTGACTCTAGAGACTGCTACTCACAAACAAAGACATTTTTAATATTTTCTTGTCTAAAATAATCAGCATAAAATAGTTGAACACTTTAATTACTAGCTTCATGTCGTTTATAGTAATAGTTTTCTGGCAGGTCGCCAATGTTCCTTGCATTCAAACTACTCGGACGCCCCCTAACGACTTTCCACATTAAATAATTTCACTTCGCAGTAACTTGGGCGGTTACTGCATTATCTTATGAAACTATATCTGTTGGCAACTTGTGAATTAAATCTTAGAAAATGGAGGAAGTACTTGTTTTAGGAATTGCTTTGGAAGTTTAATAGATAAGACAAAATTAATGTTATTTCGACGAGTAAGACGACTTATGGCAGTAAGACATACCTTATAATTCTTTTAATTTTACATATACTATTTGCTATTGAGTAAATAAATAAGTAATGAAGTAACTATGACCGTCTTTTGCCTTTAGGAATGCGTGATGCATTGTCTGGAAGATTATTATTGGGAGAGCATTTCCCTTACTCTTAGTGCGGGCAAATAGCTATAATGATACCGACTTCCATGCTCTTTAAACTAAAAATCTAATAATGATACGGGTTTCTATGATAAAGATTTTTAAATATAATCAAAATTGCAGTAGTGACACGGAGGCTAAAGACGCCCGCTTCTCATGCAGCACCCTCCTGCGGTTTCGAAACCTACCAACGGCTAGTAATGTGACTTTTTCCGAGTTATATAGACTTTCTATCTTAGAAAGTCTATATAACTTGCGGTGTTTAAATAATCTTATTTAGACACCGCTAAAGGAAAACATCGTGAGGAAACCCGGGCTTTTAATTTCTAATTATAAGTTTCAAATCGCCAACCCGCGTTGAGCAAGCGTGGTGATTAACGCACAAACCTTCTCAATGTGAGAAAACGCCTTTGGTCAGCAGTGGCTATTTATAGGCTGTTGAGGGGATGATGAATCAAGTTGTTGTGCAAATAGTTCAAATGATTAAAATAGTTAAGAGATTATCGACTATAATTAAAGGATATAAAGTATACATTATAATTGGATTCCATGCAATTACATTGTGTTCACACCTCTTTAATTAATTTAAAACAAATCGTTTTCAATAATTATATTGTAATACGTGTAATTATGCACTTTAAGTAGGCTTGTCTAATGGTTGAAATCTATAATGTCTGAATACTTATGAGCAATTTCAATTATGTTTTATTAACTACATAGCTAGCAGGATGACTTATATTTAATGAAGTTGTAGTGTAATAGGGTTATTTTAAAAATAATATGGTACGAGTCCCATGTAATAGGGGATGAGCATATTGCCATATACCGGGCACATTTTCAGACTCCGTGCTACTGCTGAGATTTTTAAAAACCCAGTAATACATTGGACGCTTAACATAAATAGTGACCAGTGGGTGTTTCATTGTACAGTGGCATTAAGTGCCGAAATGTACTCCGCTGCCCCTTCGGGGATAAAAAGGCGTGATGTTATGTTATGTTAATATGGTATTTGCAGTCGGTTTTCTACAGTAATTTTATTTTCCGGCGATTCCGCGGCCGGATACCTGACACCGCGCAGCACACGACGCTGACACAGCACAATAGTCGTGATAATTAGTGTTTAAATTTATTACTTACATTATGTATTTATAGTATTTTAAGTTGTAATTGTAGTAGATATTATAGTATTATTGTATTTTAATATGGGCCTTCGTTGCCTGATATAAATAAATAAATAAATTATCTATAATGGGCACCACCTTGCCTGGTATGCGATAATGCAGTCTAAGATGGAGCATGCGCCCGCCCATAAGCAAACTATTCACCCGGGCCTTGAAGACACCCAGGATATATATACCCTTCAGGAAACAAACTGTGGCATTGATTTTCTGTGGCCCAATATGATAAAAGTATTCGTGTGTGTGTTTTAATATTAGGTAATTGTTCGTCTGTATACTGCTTCGAAAAATAACCTAGATAATAAAGTTATAAAACGATAACCACCAATTTTTTTAACAATAAATTTCTTAAAACAATTAATCATTAGACAAATAAAATGCAGCGGTTCATTGCAATGCATACCTTTATAACAACTTGAAAAATATACACTAGACAGAAACACTGTGTTATCGACAATAGGAATTAAACCCTATTTTTAAAGACACAGTGTTATAATTCACGTAGTTGGAAAACATGTGTTGGTCGACGAAGCGTGAAAGTTATTCCGATCTTCATGAAATATTTTGTGTGCCACTGAACTAGGGTATAATTAGATAATTACAGAACAATTAATTTTTCATATTGCTGTATAAATACGTACCTACATTTACATACGATATTTTTTTTGTTCATAACCTCGTTGTTTGTTATGTAAGGTGGAATCTATTAGGTTTCTGTTGTACCATTTTTAAGAAGTGTTTGATATGTTATTGTACTTGCTAGTTGATTGCAAGAAAACCTGCTGAGCAAGGGGTAGTTAGAGTTATGAAATCAATAATTTTTAGTAATTCACGGAATCATGGAGTCCAGAATTAGGTCTAACACTAGACGAAAAATCGTAAAACAAGATATATACGTATGTATGTACATCATATCCAACTCATAAAATAGCTGGCAAATTCTAGAAAAATAACTTAAAACTTATTTTTATGTAAGCTGCAGTTTATATAGAGTTTTAAAATAAATAAATTCGGTATTGAAAATGAATGAAAATAAATTTTCCAGCTCCTGTGATAAATTGCAACTATCAAAAAATAATAAAGTAAACTGTCCATGTTCCACTAACTAGATTAACATAACATTGGTATTAAAATATCCGGATATATCCAGCGGTAACCGGTCATAACCATACGTAACCGGATTCCGCTGGAATTTTAAATTCCATTCGTTTTGTTTATGCAAGCCGTCAGTGAAACATTTTAAGTAGAATATCGTTTTACTATATTTTGTGGATTTCCAGTTCAAATTTTTAAATTTACTTATGACGATATACAGTTATTTGTATTTTCATTTGATATGAACAGTAACATTTCATTTAAAATGAAATTATTATGTTGTTTTAGAGGAAAATGTATCATGTCAGTAGCGAATCGTGTTAACTAATTATAAATAGTTGCAAGTTACTAAATAATGTAATTAACAAGCTAATTAGTAGATGAACAATACTAAACGACAAAATTATGTTTGATTGCACTAATTAGGAATGTTATTGAAACACGTTGTTATTTCACTGCCACTAGCACTGACCTAACTAGCCTATAAATTAAATGTCGATAATTTCGTATCAGCCTAAATTGTTTTATATGCGTATCGAAAAATACTAAAAACGTAAAGTATGCAATAGCTGTTGAAAAAACTATGAATCAACTTTCAATTAGGAGAACATACAGTATGAATGAATCCGGTAAATTCTGGTTTCTACTGCATCGATCTAGTCAAATCCGGTTTGGTTAAAACATTTACTTTTTACCGATATTAGGTATCTTACTGTCCTTTGTTTTCAAAAATGATTCCTGTACTCATGTTTTTTGTTTTCTGTCTCATGCATTTTATTGAAGAGAAATATTCTAGCAGTTGGTGGACTGTCATGGGTGGTTGAAGTCAAGATAACAATAACCATAGTGCCGTTGACTACAAAACATGATATTCCTTAAAAACTACTCTCTTTATTAAAGTGTCTAAGCTATACGGGACACAGTAACTAATTCTGTTACTCAA